AAGGGACGAAGACTCTCGAAGGGACGAAGACTCTCAAAGGGACGAAAGGGACGAAGACTCTCAAAGGGACGAAGACTCTCGAAGGGGCGAAGACTCTCAAAGGGGCGAAGACTCTCGAAGGGGCGAAGACTCTCGAAGGGGCGAAGACTCTCGAAGGGACGAAGACTCTCGAAGGGGCGAAGACTCTCGAAGGGACGAAGACTCTCGAAGGGACGAAGACTCTCGAAGGGACGAAGGTACGAAGACTCTCGAAGGGGCGAAGACTCTCGAAGGGGCGAAGACTCTCGAAGGGGCGAAGACTCTCGAAGGGGCGAAGGGACAATGACTCTCAAAGGGGCGAAAGGACGAAGACTCTCGAAGGGACGAAGACTCTCAAAGGGGCGAAGGGACGAAAACTCTCGAAGGGGCGAAGACTCTCGAAGGGGTGAAGGGACGAAGTCTCTCGAAGGGACGAAGTCTCTCGAAGGGACGAAGACTCTCGAAGGGGCGAAGGGACAAAGACTCTCGAAGGGGCAAAGACTCTCGAAGGGGCGAAGACTCTCGAAGGGACGAAGACTCGCGAAGGGGCGAAGACTCTCGAAGGGCAAAGGGGACGAAGACTCTGAGGAATGAAGACACTGGAGGATTAAAACAAGAGAGCCCCAGATAACAAATCAGGCTATTTAAAATCCCTAATCTTCATGCACGTCGCGGGCGGGCAGATTAAGCACATGTGCAGATGCACATACCAACCAGCAAAGAGAGGGGGGTTAGCCCCTGCCCTTCCTGGGGTGCTCCCGAGATGGTGAACCAAATCACCAACACTAACCCGCTAGGTGCAACATCTGAGCCTGCCTGTGGGGGTCATCTCTGGATCCACGGTTTTAATCCTCATCTCCTGCTTGGCTGGATCCTCCTGCGGGGGCGGGACCTCCAGATGCACCCGCCAGTGATCCATGAATCCATCTGCTGCTTAAAACATTTAAAACAAATAAAACACCATTAAAATACCACCACCAGGGGATTTTTGAATTCCTTCACGGTCTGATGTTAAAATAAAAAATCCCGGACGAGACCCCACTTATTACGTCCCCGACAGGTGTTGTAAAAATGTGAAGGATGGGGATAACATAAGAACTGGCGGAGGAGTTTAAAATGGGTTCATTAGTAACAAAAAGGTATTAAAAACACAAGCAAACATCTCTCTAAAAGGTTAACATTACACAGCAAATTATCAACTATAAAACACCTGGTTAAACTTGTATTAAAAGCTTAACCGAACAGAAGGTGTTTTAAAATCCTGAAGTTGACAAAAGTTCCAAAACAATCCACTGACTAAAACACCTGTTAAAGACTTATTTTAAAAGCTTTACCACAACGAAAGGTGTTTAAAACCGAGGTCAGTAAAATTGCACAAACAAAGTTAACCTTAAAACCGAACACAAACATCAAAGGATCCCACTGGATCATCCCAAACTTATCTCCAAGAGTTAAAAACTACCACAGTTTAAAACTCAAACGAATCCAAACAAATCTAAACGAAAGGGGTTGAAAACAAACAAAACCGGGAGGACAGCAGAACCCCTGCACTGCTGCCTCCCAGACTGCTGAAGGCACAGCCTTTTTATACAGGTGTTGGTGATCAGTGAGATTCAGCTCAGCTGTGCTCCTCAGCATCCTGGGAGAGAGGAGAATGAGCGGCGGTGTCAGGCTGATTCACCAGAGCTGGGTGATCCTGGCTCCTACTCTTCCCAGGCCAGACTGGCAACCGTAACAGGCATAATTTGAATTTGAACGATTCCCCTGTTTCAATTCCGGTTCCTAACGATTCCTGATTCTTTCAAGGTCAAAAACATTACATTTTTCAAATGAGCCAACTAACCACAGGTCCTACTTGGACTTGAATTTTAATTCTATGAACAATAACATCACCTTTGTTTAGACTAAAACGTTTTCAAAAGAGAAACTAAACGAAGACCGTTAGTGTGTTTATTTCTGACCATAACTCACAGCCTTCTACTCACAACCAATGTGAAGAAGCCTCTAGGATGAGAAGAAAAACGTCTTCAAGATAACCAGAAATGTCCAGCTGTTTTTATATTAAAGCTCAGGATGATCATGTCCAGGATGACAGAGAATCTTCACCTAATGCAGGAAATGTGAGCAGAAGTGGAAGAAATCTAGGTCACGGCCCTCATTTGAAGACATGAGGTCTGCATGGTGTTCCTATCAAATGGCTGTAAAAAAAAAAAGGCAAAATCCACTTTTTTATCTGATATTATTAGCTCTAATGAGCATAACCTAAGAGTACTAGTCTCTATAATTAATGCTTCTCTGGTCAGGTCCCTGCTTACTTTCAGAACTCTGTAATCCACCCGCTTCTTAAAAAACCGAGTCTTGACCCCTCTCTTCATAGCAGCTTCAGACCCATCTTCCGTTCATCTCCAAGATCTTGGAAAAGGTTGTAGCTAAACAACTCACAGCTGCTCTTGATGAACATAACATCTATGATATCTTCCAGTCAGGTTTTCGTAGAGCTCATTCTACTGAAACAGCTCTTCTTGGGGTCTCTAATGACCTTCTGACTCACAGTGATGCAGGGGACTGTTCTGTTCTGGTCCTGCTGGACCTGACTGCAGCCTTTGACACTGTTGACCATCACCTGCTACTGGAGAGGCTGAGAGACTGGGTAGGCCTATCAGGATCTGCTTTGGAGTGGTTCTTCTCTTATCTTTCTGAGCGCTCCTTTTCTGTGGCCCTCTCCAAGTTTAGGTCCTCCACCACCTCCCTTACCCATGGTGTCCCACAAGGTTCTGTGCTGGGGCCTCTGCTCTTCCTCCTCGATCTGCTTCCTCTTCAGCACATCCTGAGCTCCTTCAAAGGAATCTCCTACCATCTTTATGCAGATTACATCCAACTGTACATCTCCTTTATGCCCCATGAGATGTCTAAGCTGCAGCTGTTACACACCTGCTTAGACTCTATCAAAACCTGGATGGCTGGGAGCTTTCAACAGCTGAATGAAGATAAGACTGAGATCCTCATCTGTGCCCCAGACAAGCTGGTTCCCAAAGTCAGATACTCTCTTGGTCAGCTTGCTTCTCACACCAAACCTTCTGTCAGGAATCTTGGTGTGACCTTTGACCCAGCTCTCACCCTGGATTCTCATGTCAGTTCTCTTGTTCGCTCTTCCTTCTTCCATCGCAGGAACATTGCTAAGCTGAGTCACATTCTGTCCCGCTCATAACTTGAGACAGTTATCCACACCTTCATCTCCTCACGCTTAGACTACTGTAACTCTCTTTTCACGTGTCTAAGCAGAACCTCCCTGAACCGTCTACAGATGGTTCAGAATGCCTGTGCTCGGCTTCTGACCAAGTCCTCCAAATACACCCACATCACCCCGCTTCTCCTCCAGCTTCACTGGCTGCCAGTCAACTTCAGGGTTCATTTCAAGATCCTGGTTCTGGTCTATAGGGCCTTACATGGACACGCACCATCTTACATTGGTGATCTTAATAGTCCCTACACCCCCAGCAGGTCCCTCAGGTCCAGTGATCAAAGCCTACTGGTTGTGCAGCACCAGGCTAAAGACCAAAGGTGACAGATCATTTGCTGCTGTGGCCCCCAGACTCTGGAACTCTCTCCCCCTGAGCCTGAGATCAGTGGACTCAGTGGACTCCTTTAAAAAGCAGCTGAAGACTCACTTGTTCAAGCTGGCTTTTGTATGACCTTCTTCACCACTCCCTCTTTATTCTGCTCTCCCCACCTATTCCACCTTCCTCAGGATCCACTGGTTTCCCTCTTTCCTGTTCACTCTCTCTCTTTCTTAACATTTTTTAATGACAACTGCCTATTTTTGCTCATTTAATATATTTTTAAACATTTTCTAAATGCTTTTTTATATTTTTACATTTTTTGTTTTTGTGACGTGCCTCGTGAATTTTATCTTGAGAGGAGCTATAGAAATGATATTTTCTTCATCTTCTTCTACTATTTTCTACCGTAGATGAGATTTGAAATCCTTCGTGTGCAGGTGGACTTAAAGTCTCCTCGATTACTGCTGAGAGGTTTCTGACATAATTTATAGGCAAAACTGAAACTATTCTTGTTCAAATTCCCCAGCAATTTAGTTTTATTGATGAAGAAATCTGTTTTGATTCAACTACTTTAAATTCTTTTGACTCTGTATCCCCAGATATGTTGGATGAAATTGTTGGAAGGATGAAACCATCCAGCTCTGCACTCGACATCATTCCATCCTCTATTGTTAAAAATGTTTGGCCAGCTATTTCAAATATGGTTCATAATGTAATCAACTCTAGTCTGCAGTGTGGGGAAGTTCCAAAGAGTCTGAAAAGAGCTGTAATCAAACCCCTTCTTAAGAAACCCGGTCTTGATGTCTCGGTATTATCCAATCATCGACCTATTTCTACGCTGCTATTTCTTTCTAAGGTTCTTGAGAAAGTCGTTTTTAAGCTATTGTCAGACCATTTAGATAATAACAAATTTAAGAAGTTTTTCAATCAGCTTTTAGAGCAAAGCATAGTACTGAAACTGCGCTTGTGAGAGTGTTCAATGATATTTACCAATATACTGAAGTAGGTGACAGTCTTTTTATTACTCTTAGATCTGACCGCTGCTTTTGATACTCTTGATCATGTTACACTTCTCAATCGACTGGAGAATTTTTTTGGTCTCTGGTTCAGCACTCTTCTGGATGACTTCCTACCTGGCTGACAGGTATGTGACTGTTAAGATTGGTAGCTTCTGCTCAAGTGATGCTTCCCTGAAATATGGGGTCCCACAGGATTCTGTACTTGGTCCTCTGCTTTTCAATTTATATTTGCTCATATTAGCTTGACTTTCACCTTTATGCTGATGAATGTCAGGTCTATGCTCCTGTTAAAGCTAAGGATTTAGCTCTGAGTTGTCTTCTTGAGGTTAATAATTGTAGATGGGTTTTAATTTTCTCCATATTAATGAGACTAAGATGGAGTTGATTATGTTAGCACCAAGTGTTGCTCCTGTAGTTACTCCGTCTCATATGATGCAAAGGATGTTGTGTCTAATTTGGGTGTTAAGAATGATTCTCAGCTTAAATTTGATGTTCAAGTCAATAATGTGGTTCAAGTATGCTTTTTTCACCTAAAGAATCTTTATAAGTCTTTTTGATGAGGAATCGTTTTGAGAGGTGTATTCATGCATTTAATGCATTTTGTTTAGGCCGGGCGTACACTGTGCGACTTTTTCACTTTTTTGAGCCGATTTTCCAGTCGTGCGAGAATCCACGACATCGGGGCGAGTTTTGCGCCGAGCGGTCGTGTAGTGTACAGGGGGTTACGAGAGGCGATTAACACCACGTGACCAGCTGCCGATCAGCAGTCGTGAGGTCGCACGGACTTCTGGCATGTTTAATATTTTGCTCGTCCCTCGTGAGGGTATCGTACAGTTGAAGCGGTGCTGCGAGCAGCTGCGACCCAAAAAGTATCAGAACCGCTCACGGCGCATGCGCAATCCTGCATCAACACCGCTCGCTCGCTATTTCCCTAATAACACACGCTGTTCGTTTTTGTTTCTACACGTTTTTTTTACTCACAAAGATTGTCAAGAAAGCGTGTTTGTCGTGTTCATGTCAAATTAAACTGATCACTAAACACAGATTTACTTTCTTTATTTCGTTTTACTCATCCAACCCCCATAAATCCCTGTATCCTCCTGCAGCACTCCGTGTTGAGTAAAAACTGCTATTTTTAGCATATTTTTAGGGCTGACGTGTTGCTACCAGACGTACAGTGTGAGCAGTCAGGTCGCATGCGAGAACTGGGTCGTGCAGTGTGAGCGCATGACTCGTGAGATCTGCCCTGCGAGGAAGTCGTACAGTTTGAGCTGAAGCTGAACGCTGCGAGTGAAAAAGTCGCACAGTGTACGCCCGGCTTTAGACTACTGCAACAGTCTTTACTTGGGTGTTGATCATGGATGTATTGCTAGGCTGCAGCTAGTTCAAAATGCTGCAGCCCGTCTTTAGACTGGCACTGGTCGATTTGATCATATCACTCCAGTTGTTGCCTCTCTGCATTGGATCCCAGTTCAGTTCTGTGTTGAATTTAAGATTTTGGTTCTGGCCTACAAATGTTTAAATGGCCTTGCTCCTAGCTCTTTATCTGGAATTCTAGTGTCATATGTCCCATCTTGTGGATTTAGGTCAACTGACCTAGTGAGCAGAACTAACGGTCATCACAAGCTGCTGATCTAGCAGCATGATGCTCATTATTATTTCATGGGTTACAGACGAGTGTTGATGCTCTGTGTTTTTATTTCTGCAGCGAGCCTTACAATTTCACCTCTTTCCGCCCAGTTTCTTCTTAAAACACATATTACATTTACTGTTTTGACGCATTTTAATGAGCTTCCTCCATGCTGTGATTTCATTGTAGGATACAAACTTTACAGCACTCTCACGGAGTAAAAGTTCGGCAGATATTTGTTTACATTTTTGCTGCTGCGCACCTACAGTGTTAGGGAAAGGAAGGGAGGGGCCGATGCGATGCTGCTGTCAGGGTATCTCTAGGCTCCACAGTAGCAGCGACGAACGGCTGGTTTGAGTGGCTCTGAGAGGCGTTAATCAGAATTTGCAGATAGCGTTTTTTCCTTCTACCAATGGCATAGTGATGTCTGGACTTAAAAGCAACTCATTAGATTCATAGTTATTTGTTAAAGTAATGCATTACCATAAATAGTAATGTGTTTACCAACATTGGTTATGTATTTTACTGATTGCAAAAACACCCCTAGGTCTTTTGTCTTGTCTTTTTACTGAATATTTTTCTTTTATATATTTCTGCTTGGTTCACTGCAGTTTCAAGGAAGAGAGAAGAGACGGATGAGAAACCTCTGCTCTTACATTTCCACAACCATCAAATGAAAGACGGAGGTGTCCCAACCAGCAGCTTGGCTGGGCAGATGACAGCAAAAGTTGGTGGAGGAGCAGAAACTAGCAAGAACCTAGATCTGGACCCTGATGAAAAGACATCAGATCCTTCAGAGATTGAAGTTACTGGAGAAGATGAAGATGATTTGAATCTAGACTCTGAGCGTTCAGACTCTGGGCCTGAAACTGGAAACGGAGACCATGGCTGTAATGAGAACAAGTCTTCAGAGTCAGATATTAAGACATTCGACAAATCATTTAGCTGCCCTGTGTGTGGTATACGGTTCTTCCACAAGTGGTCTCTTCAGGAACATGTGAGAGTGACAAGTCATTCAGCAGTAAAGTCATCAGAGTGTTCGGTTAATACAAAATGTGTGAAAGAGAAGCAACATGGAGGCTCATGTAGAAAAGTCCAGAAAAAACCGAAATCATTTAGTTGTGATGACTGTGGGAAAAGATTTAGCCAAACGTTCAATTTAACCCGTCATATGAGAGTCCACACCGGGCAGAAGCCTTTTGCCTGTGAGCTCTGTGGGCAAAGATTCAGCCGTAAACATAGTTTAAAAACACACATGAGAGTCCACACAGGAGAGAAGCCTTTTGCCTGTGAGCTCTGTGGACAAAGATTTAGCCAGAAAAATAATTTAAACACACACATGAGAGTCCACAAAGGAGAGAAGCCTTTTGCCTGTGAGCTCTGTGGACAAAGATTTAGCCATAAACATAGTTTAAACACACACATGAGAGTCCACACAGGAGAGAAATCTTTTGCCTGTGAGCTCTGTGGACAAAGATTTAGCCAGAAAAATAATTTAAACACACACATGAGAGTCCACACAGGAGAGAAGCCTTTTGCCTGTGAGCTCTGTGGATACAGATTTACCAAAAAGTCACATTTAAACGATCACATGAAAATCCACACTGGAGAGAAGCCTTTTGCATGTGAGCTCTGTGGATACAGATGTACCAAAAAGTCATATTTAAATGATCACAGTAAAGTCCACACAAGAGAGAAACCTTTTGCATGTGAGCTCTGTGGACAAAGATTTAGCCATAGAAATAATTTAAACACACACATGAAATTCCACACAGGAGATAAGCCTTTTGCCTGTGAGCTCTGTGAATACAGATGTACCCAAAAGGCAAGGTTAAATGATCACATGAGAGTCCACACAGGAGAGAAGCCTTTTGCCTGTGAGCTGTGTGGACAAAGATTTAGCCGAAAGACACATTTAAAGAGACATACGAGCATCCACAAAAGGCTTGAGGGATTTATTTAACAATAGTACATCCAAATGTAGTATTTAGTTATTTACAACCTTAATATTAGTCTTGTACCTCTGCTCAACTATCATTGATCGGCTCTTGAGCCACCTCTTCTTTTGATTTTCATTTTCAAATCTCCTTTGTTTTTCAAACTCAGACCTTAACCAAACATTTGAGATGTTCATTCATGAAGTCTGAATACAAAAAAAAAAATTACTTAAAGATTAAGAAAAAACTGTTATACCCTCCTGTATTTAAGAAACAGACAACAGGCACATGATGGTTGTAGTACACAACCCACTGCAATTTAAAGCCGTTAGATACCTGTGGCGTCTGCTTTAAACAATTTATCTGTATATAAAATAATAGCATACAATGTTGTAATAACTGCAGCTTAAAAAGAATGTGTCTTTATTCATTTGGATCCCCTAAGAAGAAATCCCACCTTAAAGGCTGTAGAGAGACAGCTGGGACTGTTGTCAAGAAGTCATAAATTACAAGGCGGCTCTGTGGAGACTCCATTCTCCTACAATAGCATTTTGCTATTCTAAGCAGGCTTAGGAGTGTGCCTGTACCAGAGTTTTTAGAGATGCTGTTGTAGAGTTATAAGCAGTGGACAGATGCTGGAAAGACAGAACCACTTTTGGGCTGCATGGTTCTCCACCGGTGTACCGATGCTTGTATTAACATGGACTAGATTGTAATAAACCGGTTATCTTTTTTAACTCAAACTTTGCCATGATTGAGTCATAGCACTCCAAGAAACAGCTCAGCATGAAAATTAACCACATTCCCTTTATTTCTGATGACACAACTAATCACTGCTGGTGCACAATTAATCACAGACACTTAGCACTTGTGCATGCGTTCTGTATTCAGTGTGAACGAGGCTTCACGCCCTCTCAGTAGCGCAGCATCGTGCGGTTGTCCTGTTCTGATTTTTTTCATGTAGTTGTGGTTTAGGCATTTTTTTGCCATTATCACTGATAAAAGCTGTGCATTTATTCATTTGTGAATTAATTAAGCAATACAGATCACAGTCCAATGTTTTTGTTTTGATTTTTAAGTAAGGTTCAGCAAATGTTGTCGAATCACTGAACCATCATCTGGGAAATGAAATATGAACTGTTTCCAAGTACCGCTGTAATGTGCTTGCATACCACTAGGCAGAAGAAAAAATATTTGTATATAGCGTCTCTCAAGATAAGCTCACAAGGCGCTTTATAAGGACAAAACTAAAAAAATAAAAAAAAGATAAAGACCATAATAAAAATAACAATGAAAATTTTTAGACTAAAACTGAATCCTGAATAAGACGGACTTGACAGAGCCAGTAGTGTGAAAAAAAGCTACTGAGTTAGAATCATGAACAATGTGTGTTTAGATGGTAAATGACAGAGTTCAGAGTGATTCTGGTTCAGTCCGCTGTTGGATCATCAACACTTGACAGGAGACATGATCGTCTTTTATACAGAAAGTCTTGTGTCTTCATCTGTCTAGGGTTGTTATGATGATTTAATTTTTGAATCATTTGAACATTAAAGGTTTTCTGCAGACCTGTTAGTGTCCTCCATCATTCAGTGTCATGTTCCTGGGAAGGTGTTTAACCCACGACATGAAGAACCATCACAGGACAAAGGCAGAAAGTTCAAACAATGATTTAACCCTAACTAAAAGTGTTCTGGAGATATCCAAGTGTGAAGTAGTCGGCAAGAGTCCAAAGCCAGCATGGAGGGCAAACGGTGTGACGGGGTACGTCCAGGAGAGGGAGCCAGATGATGGCGGCAGAGGGCAAGTGAAGCTGGAGGAGAGGTGAACCTTGAGTGTGTAATCCAGGCGGGTTATGGTGACTTCCAGGTAGGTACATCCATCTGTGGTTCAGCGATTCCAAGTATCCTGAAGATGAAACAGACTTGAGTCCAAACACCAAAAAATCCAAGCACAAAAAAACCAGATAAATCCAAAAACTGTGACAGCACAAATGTCTGAGCAGAGACCAAGTAAAACCTAGTACTGAGTGGCAAGATTCTACCGTGAGTAGTTAATCATCCAGCGATGTGAAGTGGTTCCCTCTCCTCTTAAATAGAGCTCTGCTGCGGTTGATTAGAGGATCTGCAGCTGCCGCTGATCGGTAATGCCCCACAGCTGGTGAGTGCCCTCTCCTGGAATGACAGTCTTACAAAGATGTTGTGGAGAAGAGGGAGTACTCACCCCGTCACACAACAATGCACCCCCCCCCCCCCCCCAACGGACACCACCTGGCGTCCTAGCAACCGACTCCTCGTAGTCCCGAATGAGGGAATGGTCCACGATGAAGGAGCGCGGGACCCAGGAGCGTTCCTCTGGGCCGTACCCCTCCCAGTCGACCAGGTACTGGACCCCACGACCACGGGGTCGGGAGTCGAGGATCCGCCAGACTGAGTAGACCAGTCCCCCCTTGTAGAGCCAGGCCGGCGGCGGAGGCGCAGGAGCAGGGCAAAGAGGACTGGAGCCAACAGGTTTAACCAAGGAAATGTGAAATACAGGGTGTACCTTCATATTCCTGGGGAGGTCCAGCTGAACCGTGGTGGGAGTAGGCGTGTCCAGGACCCTGAAGGGGCCGATGAACCTAGGAGTGAGCTTCCTAGAGGAGGCCTTTAGCGGGATGTCCCAGGAAGACAGCCAAACATTCTGACCAGGAGAGTACAGCGGGGCGGGGCGCCGGTGTCGGTCTGCCAGCTGCTTGTTCCTGGCGGCAGTGCGCTCCAAAGCCGCCCGGGTAGAGGCCCATGCCCGTCTGGCCCCCCTGAGAAATTGCGGGATGGAGACTGAAGCCGAGGACTGCTGTGGAAACAGTGAGGGTTGGTAACCCAGAGACGCCTCAAATGGTGACTGACCGGTGGAGGTGGATACATGGCAGTTGTGAGCATACTCGATCCATGCTAAATGTGTGCTCCAGGTGTTGGGCTGGGAGGAGCAGACACAACGCAGCATGGCACCCAGCTCTTGGTTTAACCGCTCACACTGCCCATTAGTCTGAGGATGGTGGCCGGAGGTGAGGGCGACCTTGGCGCCCAGAGCTTCTGCGAACTCCTTCCAGACCCGAGCCACGAATTGGGGACCCCGGTCAGACAGAATCTCCGTGGGAATACCATGCAGCCTAAAAACATGCTTCACAAGGAGTTTGGCAGTAACAGTGGAGGAGGGAAGGCCTTTAAGAGGCACCAAATGACATGCTTTAGAAAACCTGTCGACCACAGACATGATACATGTGAAGCCCTTAGATTCTGGAAGACCTACAACAAAATCAAGCGCTATATGCGACCAGGGACGTGACGGATTAGGAAGGGGACAGAGGAGCCCAGCTGGGGCTCGGTGGTCTCCCTTTTGCTGAGCGCACACATGACAAGCTGAAATATAGTTCTTAATGTCTATATACATGGAGGGCCACCAGAAGGTCCGTCGTATCAGAGCTATAGTGCGTCCCACACCTGGATGAATGGAAAACCTTCCTGTGTGTGCCCAATGTATAACCTGCCCCCTAAGCGCCTGAGGAAAAATAGCCTCCCTGGGGGTCCCCCTGGTCCGGGCTCGGTTTTGAGTGCCTCCAAAACCTTGTCCCGGATCTCCCAGGTGATCCCACCTACCACACACGACGAAGGAAGGATGGGTTCGGGCTCGGGTTCTTGGTCTGGTGCATACAGTCTGGATAAGGCATCGGGTTTAGTGTTCTTTGATCCAGGACGATAAGAAATCTGAAAATTAAAGCGTGAGAAAAACAACGACCACCTGTATTGGCGGGGGTTAAGACGTTTGGCTTCTTTCAGATAGATTAAGTTCTTGTGGTCTGTCCATATTAGGAACGGCTGTTCCGCTCCTTCCAGCCAATGCCTCCATTCCTCGATGACGAGTTTCACCGCGAGCAGCTCCCGGTCTCCCACGTCGTAACGGCTTTCCGTCGGGGACAGCCGCCTGGAGAAAAAGGCACACGGGTGCAGTTTATTGTCCTCGGGCGCTACCTGTGAGAGGACCGCCCCCACCCCGGTCTCAGATGCATCCACCTCTAGCACGAACTGCCTCTGGGGATCGGGTCTGTGGAGGACTGGAGCGGCGGTGAAGCGCCTCTTAAGTTCCTGGAAAGCAGCCTCGGCTTCTGGGGACCAGACAAATGGGCGTTTCACAGACGTTAAGTTAGTTAGCGGTGCGGCTACCTGGCTGTATCCCTTAATGAAGCACCGGTAAAAGTTCGCAAATCCCAGGAAGCGCAGCAGCTGTTTCCTGGATGAGGGGGTGGGCCACTCCGTGACCCCGCGGACCTTCTCCGGATCCGCTCTGAGCCTCCAGTGTTCCACGATGAACCCGAGGAACTTGACCTGTGGGACATGAAACAAACACTTCTCTGCTTTGACATATAAGCGATTCTCCAACAACCGCTGGAGAACCGCTCTAACATGTTCCACATGCTGTGCAGAGTCCTCTGAAAAAATCAAAATGTCGTCTAAATAAACTGTTACAAACTTATTCAGGAAATCGCCCAACACAGAGTTCACAAGCGCCTGGAATACAGCAGGGGCGTTAGTCAACCCAAAAGGCATAACCAAATACTCATAATGTCCAATAGGAGTCTTAAAAGCCGTCTTCCACTCATCCCCTTGCCTGATGCGCACCAGGTGGTACGCGTTCCTAAGATCCAGACGGCTAAACACCCGTGCGTTCTGCACAGGTCCGAAGGTCGAGCTGAGTAGAGGCAATGGGTATTTATTCTTTACAGTGATCTGGTTTAGTCCTCTATAGTCTATGCAAGGTCTGAGGGTACCTTCCTTCTTTGGGACGAAGAAAAAGCCCGCGCCCAGGGGAGAGGAAGAGGGTCGAATGAGTCCAGCGGCCAGGGATTCCTGTATGTAGGTCTCCATGCTCTCCTGCTCAGGTCTGGAGAGGTGGTACAGACGACTGCTGGGAAGAGGAGCCCCAGGCAGCAGCTCTATGCTACAGTCAAAAGGCCTGTGTGGAGGAAGAGAAGTAGCTCTGTCCTTACTAAATACCTGTGCGAGGTTGTGATACTCCTGGGGTACATTAGACAGGTCAATCTTCTCGGCTGATGGCGGTCTAAAAGCGCTGATGTTAGGAGGGGCTGCTCCGAGGCAGGACTGGGAGCATCTCGGGCTCCACCCCTCCACTCTTCCCGTCTCCCAGTTCACCTGGGGATTGTGGCGGAGGAGCCAAGGGTGACCGAGCACTACTGCAGTCTGTAGGGAGGGAAAAACAAAAAACTCTATTTCCTCCACATGATTTCCCGACACCCTGAGTTTTACCGGGACAGTCCGATGCGTGATGGTGGTTAAGCTGCGTCCATCCAGAGCCGCCACCGCGAGTGGAGTGGAGAGCCGGGTCGTGGGAATTCCCCACTGACGTACTCGTTCTGTGTCAAAGATTGTTCACAACCTGAATCCAACAAAGCATCAACCGGAAACTGTTCAGCATTAGCATACAACATACAAGGTAACACACTGCGGGACCCCTTAGAGTTCTGACTGCCCACCAGTAGTCCCGACATTATCGGTGGGCACGCCCCTTTTACCAGAACCGGGCAGGCTTTGGCAAAATGCCCAGACCCCCCACAGTACATGCAAAGACCTGACCTCATGCGATGTTCACGTTCCTCCTTGCAGAGTTTGGTCTTTCCTAATTGCATGGGTTCCTCCGGGGGAAGACTCTCCGAGGAATGACTTACTGACCCAGTTGCCGGTGTGGG